GTGTGTTGTGTGTTGTGGGTGAAAAAAGGGAAGCCGGTTCCTTCAACAGTTAGCTATTAAATTAATTGTGGTGAGATGCTTGCTTTTTTTTTTTTTTTTTCTGGTGAGATTCTTGGGTGTCACGGGTAGCTTCAGTTGTCAAGTTGACACAGAAAGAGGGAGCCGCAGCTGCAGAGTTGCCCTGATCATGGCCTGCAGCCATGACTGTGAGGCACTTTCTCAATTGCTATTTGGTGGAGGAGGGTCCAGCCTACTGCAGGTAGACCCGAGCTTTTAAGAATATAAACGCTAAACAAAGGCAACAACTCCATAGGCACTCACTCTAATGAAGAAACCGAAGAGAGAAGCCAGTAGGCAGCAGTTTCCATGGTTTCTGCTTCAGTTTCTGCTTGAATTCCTACACTGGCTTCCCTTGATGATGGACAGTGAACAATAGCCAAATAAACCCTTTCCTCCCCAAGATGCTTTTAGTCATGGCGTTTATCACAGCAACAGAAACTGAACTTGAACACCAGAGAAGGAGTTTCTTTCCCCTCTCATGTCTCCATAATTTTCCTTGTCTTCTAACTCGATGCCCTGACTGGGATGTGTGGTGATATATTATTATTATTTTTGTTTTGTTTTGTTTTTTGAGACAGGGTTTCTCTGTGGCTTTGGAGGCTGTTCTGGAACTAGCTCTTGTAGACCAGGCTGGTCTCGAACTCACAGAGATCCACCTGCCTCTGCCTCCCGAGAGCTGGGATTAAAGGCATGCACCACCACCACCCGGTGATATGTTATTTATTGTTTATTAAAGCTTGCATGAGGATTCAGAAAAGCAAAGCATCCTGCCACTAATCCTTACCTCTACCTTATGCCAAAAGGGCTGACCCACAAGCTTTCCTCAGCGTGGCTGGAGACTGAATGCGCCTATCTTCAGTGTGGCTGGAGAATGAATGCCTGATGCTAACTACTGAAGACCCTGCTTCTATCTTTCCTACCCTTCTAGTGTATTAAAGGTGTGTGATCTGTTACTCTTTTAGACTGATTCAATCTCTTGTATCCCTGGGTGGCCTTGAACTCAGATATATCCCTCTACCTCTTAATCCTGAGTCCTAGGATTAAAGATGTGTATCACCACCTCCTAGCTTCTGCTGGGATTAAAGGTGTGTGCCTGGCTTCTGTGGCTTGTGGCTGACTTTGCTTTCTGAATCTTCAGGCAAGCTTTAATAAATCACAAATAATATGTTACCACAAATCCCCTTTTTTGGCCTTTTATTTTTCATTTTACAATCAGTGATTATTTTCTGAGATTTATGGAGCTGTGTTTCTGAAGGAGCTTTACGGCCTTTGCATGACTTCAGACGTAAGGCGCTCCTGGTATACCTGGAAGTCTTGTATTATTGAGCACTGCAAACCGTGCACAATAAGTACTGAGAAGTGTGTGCATGGGCCCTGTGTTCCTCCAGGTGGCACACAGATCAGATCAGAGGCTGTGGGACGGGGAGCTTGACTTACCCTAAAGATAACTTTTGTGTAACAATCGATGAATACACTCTGCATAGCTGTTCGGGGTTCAGTCCTTCGAGACTGCTCCCCTGCTGCTGCAAAGCCCTTATTGCACCCTCGAGTGTCTCGCTTTGGTCGTTCAGTGTGACTCAGTTTACCAACACCCCTACTGTTGATTTTTGTATTTCTCTCACTCCTTCAAATTGGAGTTCCACTGTACAAAAGAGGTTCCTTTCTTCACTTCATTGGGAAAAAAAAGAGATTTTTACTTTTGAGTTTTAGTATGAGTGTTTTGCCTGTAAGTGTGTCTCGGACCATGTACCTTCGGTATCCATGGAAGCTAGAGGAGGGCATTAGATCCCCTGAAACTGGAGTTACAGGTGGTTATAGACTATCCTTGAAGGGACCAGCACCCCCCTCTGTTTCAGCAGCCATGACAGGATAACATTTGCTGGGCCTGCCTTGGTCACTAGGAGGTCAGATGGCCTCCTTGTGGCAAAGAACCAATCAGAAATTAGCTAGCAGGACTGTGCTTTATGGACAAGTGCACCACAGTGACGTGCAGAGCATAGCAACCGCCCTGGGAGGGCCGATGGGCCATAATGACCAGCTGACCAATCAATCCCCCTTTAATCTGGGCCACACCTTCTGCTAGCAGCCTCTAAGAAGGACATGGAAGAAAGAAGCTTGCTTTCTTTGCCTGCTTGTCCTTGCTCTCACTGGCAAGTCCATTCCTTCACTGGCATTAGAACCTACTTTTCTGGGACTCTGGTGTATACTGAAGACCAGCTGAGACATCTGGTCTCATGGATGGAAAAATTACTGAGTTCTTGGGCCTTCTGTTGGTAGACAGCTATTGTTGAATTAGTTAGATCACAGCCTGTAAGCCATTCTAATAAATCTCCTTTACACACACACACACACACACACACACACACACACACACACATATATTCCCTCTACACACAATGTGCACATATATGGAATGTATACACACATACATATATATTCATTCTATATTCTGTTCTTCTAGAGGACGCTGACTAACACACATGGGCTCTGGGGATCTGAACTCAGGTCCTCATGCTTGTGTAGCAGGCATTCTACAACTGAGCCATCTCCTCAATCCCCCATTCCTTTCTTTGTAAGCAAGTTACCTTAAAGAGAAGGTAACTCTACCTGTTAGAGGAAATGCTATCAACTCTTCTGTAAGATTTCTTTCCCATCCTTTATCGTGTGCGGTGACACGTTTTTACATGAGTGTGCAGAGATACATTCATTTTGTGTGTGCGGTGACATGTTTTTACATCAGTGTGGAGAGATTCATTCATTTTGTGCTTTCACACACATTATGCTACTTAAAGCCATTTATTTTACTAATCACTTTCTTCCAGCATCGGTTATTTCACGATCTTTTAGCTTAGTTCTTGTGTGCTTTGTCGTGGATTTGTATTTGGGGGCACACTTTCTTTCTCAGGCTCCTTTTGTCATTTCTCTTGTCAGATTTTAGATGAGCTATATCTCCAAGAAGCCAGGTTCATCTTGGTGATATGTAATAGATGCAGCTATGTACTCTGCTGGGCCCACTCTATAGGCTAAGGAGCTTGCAGTGTGGGCCTGATGACACAAGTTCAATCCCCAGAACCCACATAAATGTGAAAGGGGAGACCTGACTCCAAAACATTGTCCTCTGACTTCTACATGTGTGGGATGTCAAACACCCATTCCCATATGCATGCCATGTGTGAGTGTACTTACACACACACACACACACACACACACACACACACACACTCACTAATAAAACTTTTTAAAAGTTATCCTCACAAATTTATTCTATTCTTTAAATTTTTATAATTAATTGTTAATTTAAATTTTCATTAAATCAACACATGTGTACATTGAATAAGAGGCAAATCAGAATGATAATCGTGTTCCCAGGGGACATGGAGACATTGTAACTGTGTGCCCATGTTTTCTCCTAGGTTATGTATTCAGGTATTGCATTAAAACAATTAGCCCACTTCCATAACTTTTACATGGAAGATAAGGGTCCACCTTCATTATTTAGATATGAGGGTTCATATTCCGTCACCACTCTCTGGACCGTTTGTTTAAAATAGTGCTGCCTCCCCATTGTGCATCCTTGTCAAAGGTCAGCAGAACATGTATGTCTGTATTTTTTTGTTGGTGTGTGTATGTTTCTTATTATTTCAGAATCATAATGTCCCAGTTATAGCTCTGTGATATATTTAAAATCAGGATGTTTAATGCTTATAGCTTTGTTCTGCCTTAAGATTGCTTTTCCTATTGAAGTCCCGTCTTAGTCCATTTGGACTGTTATCCATGAAGATCACAGCCCGGATAGTTAATAAGGAACAGAAATGTATTTCCTCATTATTTTTGGGTTGTGGGAATTCTAAGATTAAGGCACTGATAGCTGATGAGAGTAATCTTGCTATGTAAAGCTGAGTTTGAATTACAAAGGAAGAGCCTTCATTGACTAGCAATTTCTCCTCTTCCTCCCCCTCCTTCTTCTTCATTGACAGGGGCTCAAGGAGCCTAGGTTGGCCTTGAACTCACTATGTGGCTAAATCTGGCCTTGAACACCTGGTTTTTCTGACTCCACCTCCCAAGTGCTAAGGTTATAGATGAGTTCCCTCCTAAAACTGTCAGGGTAGCTGCAGTTGCACTGAGCAGCATACCCTCAAACAAAAAGGGTGCCTTTTTATGGAGGATTCTAGAATTTTCAAACATATTTCTGTAAAAAAAAAAAGTCTAGATTTTTATAGGATTTTCATTACATCTATAGATTATAGTGTATATAGCATGGTGATTCATGATAATAATAACTTACATACTTAGTGAAATGATGTTTGAAAGTCATGTAATACACTATGACTAATGATGTATTAAAAGTGTTATAAATTCTCACATGTAATGTGTAAGCAACTCTTGTGCTGTAATGATTGAGTCTTGTTCTGACCACAACTAAAATTATTAATAACTTGTGTTATTTCAGAATGGTATAAGCTTGAATGGTAGACTGTGGTTTTGTTTTTTGTTTTTGTTTTTGTTTGGTTTTGGTTTTTCAAGACAGGGTTTCTCTGTGTAACAGCCCTGGCTGTCCTGGAACTCACTCTGTAGACCAGGCTGGTCTCGAACTCACAGAGATCGGCCTGCCTCTGCCTCTGGAGTGCTGGGATTAAAGGTGTGCACCAGCACCGAGAAATGTTTCTATGTCTATATTTTTATCTAACGCAGAGATCACTATGGTATGCCGTGATTGATTACCCCAAAGCCAACGTGCTCAGGAAGCTTTTTCACCACAGAATAAGCAAACAGTTATTGTCCACCCTGCATGGTTTTTAAAAAGTTAATTATATGTTGTTCAGTGCTAATGAACACCAAAGGACTGAGTGTGGCATAGCCACTGGACACAAACATCTGGACACAGTGGTGAGTTGGGTCATTATTCCACATACTTCTCAAGGAGAAGGCAATGCAGTCCAAACAGTACATGACCACAAAGAAACTCAATAGCACCAGGATGATACAGATGGCCCTCTGCTCTGGAGATGCTCTGGGGGAAATGCTGGCACTGTGAAGGTACTGTGACTGCCTCTTATGCCTGCACAAGACAGCCACCACGTACACACTTGAAAGCGCCATGAGCCCTACAAGAACGGCATCTCGGACGACAGCCAGTACACAAAGTAAGTGTCTGATGAGGCCGCTAAAAAGCCAGAGAGAGCAGGATTTAGTGATCAATATAAGAATGTGTGAAGTCACATTGGGGGTGGCAACAATGAAGCTCATGTAACCGCTAATGGACATATAGAAGCTCCACAGGGAAAGAAAGCAGCAGGAGTTGTGATGTAAGGATTTGTGTTTGAACTTGGACAAACAGGAACTTCTGGGGCTGAGGATGACGGCCTGGAGGATGCTCAGGTGACACGTAGCACAGATGGAGACGCTCCTCATCAGCCTGTACAGGGAAATAACTGATCTACATGTGAAGTCTTCCCAAAAACTCTGGGACCCCAAAATGTCTGTAGCCATGAAGGCCATGGTCAACAGCATCACTATGTGGCTTAGAGCCAAGAGGCCAGTTATCATGTTGGCCGGCTTGTGCCTGTGCTCCTGGAAGAGTGTCATCACGAGGAAGAGCAGGAGGATGGTATTGGCCAAGATCCCAAAGGCAATCTGAGAGAAAAAGGCATTTCTTATGCCATTGTTATTGTACAGTGGGTTGTTTCTGTTCATCTTATGGGGGAAAGAAACACATAGGGCATATCTGAAAGTAAAGCGAGAGAAACCGTTTATTACCTACTACTGTCTTCATCAATCTCAGTCAACATGATGGCCCTCTTGGAAACATGTGGACCAATCACAGCGCACCCTGTCCTGTCTCCTCATGCTCTCCAGAAACCATCCCCACTCTTTCTTTCTTCCCCCACTTTCTAGTCACAACTGGACTCTGTTTCCCACTGCTAGCTCCCACAGTCCATACACTTAATTACACAATAAACGTTGCCATATAGTAGAGCAAGTATTTCTTGATTAGCACCTCTTTTTTTTTTTCAGGGCAAGAGCAATGTCTTACTTGCTTCTAATCTTCCTCAGGGCAAGAGCAATGTCTTACTTGCTTCTAATCTTCCTCTTCCTCCTCCTTTCCTGTCTTTCTGACACAGGGTTTCATGTAGCACAGGCTGGCCTTGAAGACACCATGTAGCTAAGGATGACCTTGAATTTCTAATCTTCCTGCCTCCAATTTCCCAGTGCCGGGTGTATAGGTATATACCATTAAACCTGGTTTGTGTGGTGCCTGAGATGGAAGCCAGGGCACTGTGCATGTGAGGCGAGCACTCTACCATCTGAGACACCTCCTCATTCCCTTATCTGTATCTTCTTGATTGTTAGTACATAGCAACAGTTTTGGTAGAGGAAGTTGTGAAGAAATGGATCTTAGACTCTTTCAAGCAGAGTATTAATGGATCAGATAAGTGCATAGGTATATTGACTTCTGCATTGTCTTTATTTTAGATGATTTATCACCAGAATACATCTTGATACATTGACAGAGGGAATGCTGGTACATGTGGACTCTGATTTCACACGGTCTGAATGTACACCTATGAGCTGCTCTACTCTGAGTGTGATCTTAAGCAGTCTATAGTCCAGTCATAAACTATGCACAACCATAGTTTAGGTAGTAGACATCTCCTATGAGAAAAAGATGAACTATACATACCAGGCATGAGAGTGTTTCTGGTACATAATGGTGTCTATAAGAAAGAAGCAACTGTTTTTTATTACTCCGAGGCTTCCCATACATGTAACTTGGGATATTTAATACAGTTCTTTCAATAGTTGATCAATGCAGACTCTGTTAAAAGATAGAAGACATGAAGTTATTGAAACCTTAGAACAGCCTCTGATAGAATTTTAGACTTTTTCTCTTTAACTCCCCAAAGAGGAGTGTAGCCCTCACATGCTTTGTAAACCATCATGCTAGGATGACTAGTTCATGTAAACAAAAGCCAGTTACTAGCTGGTAGAAACATAGGTCAATATGTTTCTCTGCAGGTATGTGGAATCCATATGGCTGGTAGAATTAGAATTAAAATTGAATTAGGGTGTAAGGATACATTATTTCCTGGCTTTTTAGACCATGCACTTTTGTAGTATAGGCACTAAAGGAATACAGAAATGTTATAGATTCCTAAAAAACAAACAAAAACAAAAAAGTCTAGATTTAAATTTAAATTATATCTATGTGTCTGTGGGGTGTGTGTGTGTGTGTGTGTGTGTGTGTGTGTGTGTGTGTGTGTGTGTGTACCTGCAAATGTAGATGTCTGCAGAGGCCAGAAGGTCAGTATTCGGGATCAGGTTTGTGACTTGGGTGCTAGGGACAGAACATGGATCCTCTGCAAGAGCAGTAAGTGCTCTTAACTGTTGAGCCATCTCTCCAAGGTTCTTATTTTTTGGGGGGACCTTCAAAAGAATCATAGTGTGCCAGCCACCCACAAGCCAAGTGTTTACAGGGCAGAAAGGGATGGGAAGAGGAGGAGGCTGATGAGTTTCCTTTTGGGTCCAAGATTGGCTCTTGCTAGGAGTGACCCAAGAATAGTGAGAAAAAGGGTGTTAGGCGACTGATAAACATCTCTTGTGCCACTCATCACTGGGGGGCGGGGTCTGCAGCAGTCCCAAGAGTTTTTTCAGTTTAGTTTTTGTAATGAAAATATTTTTTTTCATACAATATGTTCTGAACACAATTTCCCTCCCACACTCCACGCAGGTGGTCCCTACATCCCTTCCCACCCAACTCCACACCTTCTTTTTGTCTTTATTTAGAAAACAAACAGGCAAATAATGTTGTTGTTGATGATGATAATAATAAAAAGACAGAATAAAAGAAAAAGCACAAGAAACACCACACACACACACGCGCGCGCGCGCGCACACACACACACACACACACACACACACACACACACACACAACCAAAACCCATAAAAATATCAGACCAATAAGAAAAAAGATACCAAAACAAAGCAATATGAGACAAAAAAAATCTACAAAACTACCATTGAGTTTACTTTGTGTTGGTCATCTACTGCTGAGCATAGGACCTGCCCTTAAGTGTGGTTAGGGATGGGATCTCATGTCCACTTCCCCCTTTCAGAGCCAGGACCCCATCTGGCTTAGACCTGTGTAGGCCTGGTGAATGCTGTAGTCTCTATGAGATCTTATGTGTGCCGACCCTGTTGTGACTGAAGGATGACAGCCTCCTTTTAAGTACTGAGTAAGACAAGTGACACAATTTGGCACATTTAGAAGCACCCACCTATGTTGGCATCCCTGAAGCATGAGAAAAGACAAAAGAAAATATAACCCTAATTGACCAAATTTCCTAAAGGACACACAACACCATTGTTATATATGTATGCTCAACATTTATATGCATTAAAAATAAGATGTATCACTATTTTCTTCCTAGTACATTATTTACTAGCAAATAGGTCCTGGAGGATGTGAACCCTTTATAAACAATGATGGGGGATGTCTTTCTGTATATATGTTTCTCTTATTCGTTGATAAATAAAACACTGTTTGGCCATTAGAGGCAGGAAGATAGGTGGGGCTAGGAGATGAGGAGAATTCTGGGAAAGGTGGGCAGAGAGAGACCTTGGAGAGACACCATGGAGAGACCAGGAAGATAGGATGTGCCAGGTGTTCTCTGGTATGCCAAGACCACATAGAAATACTTTGATTAGTAGTTATGGATTAATAATTAAGAGAGAGCTAGCCAGTAAAAAGCCCTAGCCATCAACCAACACGTTTATACTTAATATAAGTCTTTGTGTGTTTATTTGGGGCTGAAGTGGCGGTGGGACCTGGCGGGACTCCAGTTACAGAACACAGGCTAAAAAGTATCCTGTTAGTGTCTTCTCTTCCACTGTGCCTCCCTCCCTGTACTCACATCTGCCTCGAGTAGCTTAGTTTAGAAGATCAGGGCAGAACAGACATTCCCTGGCATCTGCAGAATAGTCTGGGAGACCCTCCTCAAACATGGCTTGAGGAGCCATGGCTATAGAGACAACATCTGACTCACCTCATGTGCCAAGCATAAACATTGCATGGGGGACTGGGTAAAGAGACGGCTCAACAGTCAAACACACTGGCTGCTTTTCCCGAGCACCAGGGTTTGATTCCTAGCATCTAGACAGCAGCTGGCAACCACTGTAACTTTAGTCCTCTGCAAGCAATGCTCACTTGTGGATCACAGACATAGACATGAACCACAAGGAAAATAGCAAGGATTTTGGAAACTGGTCACATCAGATAAGGAAAGCCTAAGTAGACAATTAAGGAAAGGAAACATAAATAAATACTAAAGAGAAGTCTGAGCTGGTAGTGACAATAACTACAATAACTTCAGAGGGAGAATAGCAGTTAAGATTCCTTTATTACATGGGTCACATAAGCGGATATTCTAGGCATCATGAAATAGTCCCCCAAATAGTGGTGAATGTTCAAGACATTGTACTCAGACCAATGTACAAGCAGGGAGTACAGGGAAAAGAAAACCCATTAGCAGACGCCAGTAAGTGTGGACACTTACTGCCTTGTGGACAATCATAACATTAATGTCCAGGGCCAAGAAGTACATGGTCAGCCTTAGTGGAAGAACATGCTTTGGTTTGTCATTGTTCTTCAGTTCAGTTTCACTAACTTTGTCCTCATTACCATCTACAAGGTCAAAATGGACCAAAGGTTCTGGGTCATGCACCAGTCCTGCTTCCTGCAGGTGAGTTTAAGCTGAGGCTAAATTAGGCAGCATCTTTTACTGTGGGGACCAATTCTAGCTGGGAAACTATGAAGAGCACAGTGAGAAAAGACTGGCACCCCAGGGAAGAGTGGAGCATCACACGCCAGATGTGAGTGCTGTGTGCAAGTGGCATGAGACAAACCTCAGGGATGAGGCCAGCAAAAGCCTGGAGAGTATTTGGGCAAATGCATTGTGGCTATTTGTGGAAAACAGTGAGAATTACGGATTGCTTTTGTAAAATAGCAGGATTAGAGAGCAGAGCCCAGGGCTCACACCTGCAGCTAGAATGCTTAATAGGATGTCACTGCTTTGACATCCCTGTTGAGAAAAAGCCAGTAGAAAAGGAAGCATTCCTTGAAGTCAAGAAACAGGAAACCTCAGAGGCCCTCTGTCTCAGATACCCAGATGTCATTACTGGGACATACAAACAGTCCTGCAGGAGGGTGGCTCCCTGATCAACTCCACAATGAGACAAGAGTTAAGCCAGCTTTCTTGCCAAAACAGATTTAACTCCCTTTCTCCACATATTCCTATACCTTAGTAAGGAGCAAAGAAATATCTGTTGATGTTAAATATCTCCAGTGGTACAAAAGAGGGGAAAACCTGAATTTAAAAGAACAAGGTAGAATCAGTTTCAACTTCCCCTCGGGCTCCTCTAAACAAAATGAGTTTGGGGAATACCCCCAAGCAGAGAAATGGGCAGGAGTATTGCTCAGTCACACAGAGAGGATTAGGATTAACGGTCAAAAATATTCTGTTTTCCCAGCTCTTGGAAATTACATTACCAGGTGTTTTGGAGCGAGGAAAAGGAAACAAACACAATTACTTGTTTTAAATATATATAATGGAAACTTGTATTCTCTGTACTCTCATGTGACACTTCCTAACTGACAGGACACAGGTTTATGAACTAACACCCTTAGTTTGCATT